TGGTGGTCGACAATCGACGCTCTAAATGTTTTGTGTTGTTGTGGTGTGTTTGTTTTTTTGTGTGCGTTTGCTTTTTTGTGTGTGTGGTGATTTTTGGTTTAAACGGTGGATCTACAAGCATTCCTGTTGATGGTCGTGGCCTTTTGCCTTGCCAAAGCAGGAGCTCCAGTTTGTGTTCAAGGCATATGGCAACGTGAAGAGCCCGCAGCTCAGAAGGATAACGACAACGAAACTTCTCACGACACTGTTCGGAATGTATAAATACATATTACATAATATATATATATATACATATGTATATGTGTGTGTGTTTATGTTTTTTTTTATATATATATAATATATATATATATATGTGTGTGTGTATCGACGGACATGCACTTAGAACATACTTTGGACAAAATAATGAGCCTTCAAAGGGGGGATGTTCTAAGTTTGCACTTAGAATATAAGCTGAAAACCATACCCAAACTATACACTTAGAACATCCTAGCTGGGACCATATAGATGTTCTAAGTGTACGTCCGTCAAGCTAATGTACACTAAACTAAGATAGGGAGGTCTCCAGGAATGATTATCCAAATCACCCAAAACTAGACTCCTAGACCATTTTAGTATTGAAACCTATGGTTTTGGGCTACCCCCATCAGGAAACCTCCAAATGATCAGAGACCCTTCCCATGAAAGCAAAGACTGTATGGGATATATTTTCCGGAAGAAAAGGCAGTTGGTTTCAGCAGCAGTGAGTGGAGAGAGTGCTCTAAGTGTGGCTTTTGCATGCAGATTTGCAAAAATCAAGGCATGTTCTAAGGATTAGTTCCGGATGTCTTCAGTGTGCACTCAGGACATTTGCCCATGTCTAAGTCTAAGCGTCGGGTTGGTTAATGTTCTAGGAGAAGGTTTGATTGAACATTTTGGACACCTGATGTTCTAAGTGATTGTCCTTCAATATAAAGCATCCGGAATAAATATGTAGAACTATACTATATGAAATTTACTGTATTGGATGTTGTATAGTGGCCGCATTTTGTTTCGCAATAGATAGTGGTTCTTGTGCGTTCTCCAGATAGATGGATGGTCTGTATTGTCAAGGCAACAAGTTGGCTGGACCTCTCACACAAAATGGGACATCAGTGGAGATCACAGGATCAATATTATTTTGACAAAGCTTCCCACTTCTGTTGACTAAAATCAAGAAAATCAACTAGCGCAAACCCATATATATATATTATATATATACAGATGATTCCTCTAGCTCTGCTCATTTTGTGATTAAGTGTAATTGTAGTCCTTACTTGGAGTTGCATCCCAGACAATTTAAGTGGGTCATATGTAATAACAATATACTCCAGTTATATGTGGAACCAGGGATCCTGGGATGCATCCAGGCCTTTTTTTTTGGATCCCGCACCATGAATCCATGGCTGAGATATCCGAATTCTGAAGCCGGAAGACCGTCTAGCTGGCCCGAATTCTGCGCCTGCCTTGTTTGGATGATTTTAATGATCTCACTTGATGTCGTGAGTAAAGGGAATCATCCCTAATGGCCTTTTTTCGGTTACCATTCAGCCAAAAATATACCTAAATCCGTTGCTTGATCATCACTTTTCCTAGCAATGTGAACAATGATATGCTGAAGTAGCTCTACAGAATATCCCTCAAGTTAACTTGCTTGTCAGTAACTCAGGGTATGGTCTGAGTTTATTTTCCCTCCCCTTTGGTACTTGCGATGATCCACAACTGTGACACCTTGGCTTTACAGAAAGAACGGGCGCGATCACGGATGCTCATTTCCGCATTCATTTCGTGCCCATCTCTGCTTGTTTCACATGCATCGCAAGCCACAGAGCAGGATTATCGGGGATGCCCCAAGCCCATTTTTTCGGCAAATTATCGCCTTAAAAGGGTGAGATATTTTTTTTTAGTTTTAGATCGCTAAAGTCACCCGCTTTCCGAATTTCCCTCCAAAAGTACCTGGGGTATTTTTGGAGCAAGCAGGTCGCTTCAACAATCAGTTTGATGCTGATTTAACCGACAAATACAGAGTTCTTCCCCCAAATGCAACATTAATTATTCCAAAATATTCCAAACATTATGATCACGATGAAGACATCCCCAAAACCATGAATCCACTTGCTAATATTCTTCAAGGGGTTGAATGCATAAACCAGTTCCAAACAAGGGACAAGTCAGTTTATACATTAACCTTGGATCCATTGTATCCTGTCCACAATATACAAAGATGGAATCATTCACTCAGAATCCTTGAAACATCATTTCTACCAGACTTGACCATGGGCAGAATCAGTTCAAAAAGGTAGCGTTGGAGTTGAGCCAGCAGGTGAACCCTCAGTGGCGAATCTTGACCCATCAATTGTCGGGGTAGTCACCGACATGAGGGGTGGGGCCTTGAATCCCCTTGAAAACAATTTTAATTTTGTTGAATAATCAATAACCATAATAAATCTATAAGTGCGATATTTTCTATAATTTTGTTGATGGTCGAATCCATTCATCTTCACTAAAAAAACACGTGTCGAAACGCCTGCTCCATCCACTTGCTCCATCTCTGCCAGGGAAGGGCGGCAAAGGTCCTCTCCAGAAGAGCTGAATGGGTGGTAAGACCTAACGACATAGCTTTGGAACATTATGGAACATCACAATTGAAATAATAGGTGAACAACACAACCCATAGATCCAACAAGCTGGACTGGGCCACTGGATGTCATATTTAGGTAACATATTTATGTATTCATACACCCATAGTCATGGTGGTTGCAGCCAGCAATCTGATTTACTTTGCTGCTGCATGAGTGCGAACCAGAAAGGAAATGAGAATAGAGCTGACATAGATTCGATAGATACCCATGTTCGGTACCCTCTGGTAATTTAACGTAGCTATTGGAAATGGATATTTATAGTTGATTTACCCATTAGTAGCATGGTGGATCTTTCCATAGTTTTTTTTCAAACGTTTTCCAGAGGGTATAACCTCCATTTTCCTATGGTTTTCCTATGGTTTTCCCATGAAAACCTCCATTTTCACCAGGAAATTCACCATTTTGTTTGGAACCAGTAGCTGGTTGCACATCCGAACATATCCGAACTGAGAGGATCCCCATTCATCGGTAGCATCCGGTGGTGCCCCCCTGAAGCCAACGATGGTTATTGGCTGGTTAGTAATGGTTAATTAGGTATGATCATAATATTGATTTACTAATATTGATTAACCAACTATTGGTTAATCATAAACAGTAATTGTGATTTATTGGTGGTTAATGATGATTAATGGGATATACCATCCCTGGCAAATGGAGGTTTATGGCTGGGAAAATCAATTATCATATGGGTTTAATAGGCATGTACCCTCTGGTCATTTGTTACAGTTTGCTTTTGAAAATGGCCCATTTATATATATATATATATTGCATTCACCTATATTTACCTATTAAAGGTGGTGATTTTCTATAGCTATATGTTAATTTGCCAGGGGGGTAAATTGGAATGTTGATTGGAAAATCATCAAACTAAACGGTGGATTTTCCACTGCCACGTTTGATTACCGGATGTCATTGTTCATCACCATAAAGCCATCAGTTAACTTAGTATATAATCATCTTGAGTAACGAACTGGGGCACACCACTTTGAACCGGCACAGTCCATATCCCTAGCTGATTGGGTGATCCAGAATTGACAAGTGATCCCCTACGAGTAAAGCCAACATAAAATACTATTGTTAGTGTCAGAGTCACCGTTTGTTGTTGATTCTACCCACCCACAGGTAAAAACGGGTAGATGGGCTATGGCATATGTTTCACTATTGTCCCAGAACAGCGTAGAACCCCCACTCCATTAAATCCCATCAAATCATCACTTTCCCATCTAAAATCCTTTGTCAACTCTTCATTTGACGTAAAACGACATGGGCTTCGGCCCCTTTCTGCCGCAGGTGCCGTCAATAGTGACTCCATCGCATGGGTCACCTACTATGAAAAGCTCGCTTGCGAGGCGCTGGGCCCATGGAAACCATCTATCAATGGGTCCCTTTCATCCATATTCCAGACTAGTGTATGATGTAAATTGGCCATGATGTTGGAAATACCGGTATCGGTACACCAGTGGCATGTTTGGGTGCGAACTAAATCCACCTGTGGTGTTTGTGGCATTGGCGTCGTTTGGGCTCGCATGAATCAAACCCAACAGCCTTCATTTTGGGTAGATCATCATCCCTAAAACTATTCTGTCATTCAGGGCTGAACTATGCTGAGTGAAGTTAAACAAACAACATACAAACAACACACGGTGGGAGCGGAAAATTGCGCTGCCATGCAGATGTGATCCATCATAGTGTTGTTGGATATATATATATATATATTAGTGGCCAAAAGAACATCGTTAATGCGGTCCACATTCGAATCTTACACCAGCGAAAGGAGAACAAATTAGGATCCAACTACCAAAGATGTGAAGTGGTAGCTAATGTGCAATCCTCCATGAAAGTCTGTATGCATTTGTTCTTGAGACCCAATTCGCTCTTTGTACATGTATATCTTTTATTTACATGTCTAATTAAATTATACATTATATATATAGGTATATATGTATGTTATATATGCAGATTACAGGAAACTGATGGAGTGTGGCCAAAAAACATTAAAGGAATTCGTGCGTTTTTTTTTTATTATGCGGAAACGATGATAATCACCTATCTCAGGTCACCAGAGCACCGTGGAATTCCCAAACCTTGCCAGGCTTTAGGAGAAAATGACTTCCGGTGTACATATTGGCATCCGGAAAGAGATAAAGCAGGGAATTAGCATGAACATGGAGGTTTCCTGAAGTGGGGGTACCCCTAAATCATCCATTTATAGATGGATTTTCCATTGTAAACCATCCATTTGGGGGTACCCCCATTTATGGAAAGCCTCAAATAATCAGGTTCCTGATTTTCCTCCCTTTTTGGGACCCTTAAAAGCACTGAGGAAACTTAAGATTAGATCCCATGTCCCATGGCGGCTATGTCGGGCGCTTACCGGCGGTGTGGCAATCAGTGCGGGCGAAGATCGTGGAACTGCACACAGCGGTCTCGCAGGCTGCGGCGTCACGGTGAAACATGGGAGTTTCGGAAGGTGGTCCCCTAGAATTGCAAGGTGGGACACCCCCAGTTATGTTTGTTGGTTTATCGGTTTATCATCCACATCATCTCCAGGTAATTCCACATAGATCATCATAGATTACTGTACATGATGGTTAGTTAACTTGGACTTAGTTTTAAGCCAGCTTCGCTACCATTCGGTCCCCCAACCCTTGGCTATGTTGGTTTAGAGCCAGGTTAAGCAGACAAGTGGGGTGCGTGCTGGACATATCTATTGTTCTTTAAGTTTATAAACCAACAACTGGGGGGGGCCACCTTTTGTGGATTCTTTGAGTCAAAAAAACATTGTAAACACATGTAAACACAGTGATGTATCCTCTTTGGATTTGTTTGTTTGACATTTGGGTGCGGCACTTCATTTCATGGCGCATCAGATCGGCATGTTTTCTTTGTTTAAAAGGCGTTTCTTGAAAAGGTGGAAAACCATATCCTTTGGTAATCAACCGTGGCAATGCAAATTTTGCATAAATATTTAACTATAAATGGGACAAAACACGATATGTTTGCTAACAATTTTGAACATCCCCCATAAATAAAGGTTCATGGGGAACATCATCTATAACTGGTGGTTTTTGATTGCCACGTTTGATTACCAGAGGGTACAGCTCATCGTCTCCCATCAGTTGTTGTAGTCCAATTTATTGCTGGTTAATCTGGTGATGTTTTTTTTGGTTGGCGAAAACACCAACAGTTTCTAAGACATCATTCTGTCTATCCATATTTTGATGGACTGTAGCCAATGGTTCATTTTTTCTCAGCTTTCTACCGTTCACTTTTCAAATTTGGTGGTTCAATTCCAACATGTTCAATTTGCTTGCTGGTCCTCCTTTAGCCATGAACATGTATTTTCAGCTTTCTCTGGCTTGATATAGGTTAACCACTCTGTCGTAGATATATTTCTTAGTTTACCGTGCGCAAAATTGATGGAACCACATCCAAGAAACTCCAACGTAAATGCCGAAAACACAAGCCAACACCAACCAATTTGCCTACTTTTTCCTGGTGAATTTCTTAAATTTACAGTAAATGCCAAATTATGAGTAGTAAATTTAACAAATGGTTGTTTTACTGGTGTTGTTTTGTTATTGGTAAATACCATAAATTTCCCAAAGACCAACCGAACTTCCCCAACTTCGCCAGGCGGCTCGGCAGGAGGCGGACCAGACGCTGCGGCAGTTCGCGGAGACCGAGGCGGCCTGGGACGCCTCCAAGACCTTTCTGACGGATGCGGAGCCCACGATGTAGCGAAGCTGCGAAACGTCGGAAAAACTGGGGGAAAACATGGGAAAAACACGAATTGATCCGAGAAAAACTGGGAGAAACACTGGCGATTCAAAACTACGGATTTCATGGGGCTGACCTAGCAAACAAATGTTGTTTTTGTTTCCATGATTTTCCATGTTTATTTTATAGGATTTAAGTAACGAAAGGGTTTAGCAAAATCTAGCCAAATTGTAATTGATTTTCCCTGTCAACATATGGGTTTGCCTACCAAGAATTGTGGTTCACCTCGCGTAGGAGCTGGGGATCAAGTTTATTTGGCCCCCAGGAATTGTAAGTGGGTAATAGCAAGCGTATAACCCAGTTGTGCACGGGATAAACTTAGCCATATATATGATGTATGGTATATTGTATAAGGACTTGGTAAGGAGGGTGCACATCGAAGTAGCTAGTGGGGGAGTAAACAAAGCGCACTTGCCATTAATGTTGAAATCTGGGACTTATAAGTAGGAATCCAATAGGACTGGCGGAGCAAGTTCACTTGGTGAAGCGATCAACCTGCGGAATATAAATTTGGAACTACCCAGCAAAGATATCGTTGACAAATGATGACCATGGCACGTATGAAGAAGTGAAGATCCTCCGGTCCCTTCTGAGAATGGCCATGGCTTGATGGTACCCGACCAATTTAAGTGCCATGTTTGGCATGCAAATCTCAATGTTTTCGGATGCAGAAATTGGTTCACTAATGTTTATAATTTGGTATAAATTGGATAAATCATGATAAATCATGATAAATCCCCTTCCCATAGAACAAAATACCTTATTTCCCCTGGGTATAGGAATCCATTCTGGTCAGTACGCAAAACCAGTATTTCTAGACAAATCTCACTTGACGAGACAAGCGGGACATATTCTGGTAGCTGGTTGGTGGTTTCTCCTAACAGAGGGCAGTATTTCGGTAGTTAAAACATCCAGCCACGCAGTCCGGGGGTTGCAAAATGTCTTGCTCTGGGGATTTTGAACACAACTTGCGCGTATTTGTTGCAGAATCCTGAATAGTTGGGTGAAGTTCAATTTGGACATTTAGCAAACCCTGTACTAACCTGGGTTAAGGCCACTCCACTTGTTTCGGACTCCCAGCCGCCCCCCTGCGAAAACCTAAATTAAGGCCATTTGGGGATGATTTCCCTTATTAACTATGGCATCTCACCAACCCCTTTTTTGATGGGTCACGAAGATTGCCACAATCCATGGCCGCTTTTAGGCAGTTCTTCGGTGCTCAGACCTTGCGAAGAGTCTTGGCCACGAAAGAGGCAGAACTGACGACCATACCGGGTACTTCGATGGATTAACTAAGAAGTGGACGTGACGTGTTTTAGATGGGAAAACTCATCTATAAATCCAAATGAAGCATGATGAAATCCTCATAATCCCTTCCTCCTAATACTAAACCCCCCCCCTAATACAAAACACGGCAAGTAGTTTTTAGTATTAGGGGGGTATTTATTATTAGGGAACCAAAATATTGCCAAAAATGGCAGTTCGAAGCTTACCCCTAATACTAAATTAAAACCCTTAATAATAAAAACCATTTTTTCCGATCTCAAAATCAATTTTCCTTATATATTAAAATATTGCCTTTCGAAACCCCTAATACGATCTCAAAATCAATTAAAATATAACGCAATTAAAATATTGCCAAAAATGGCAGTTCGAAGCTTACCCCTAATACTAAATTAAAACCCTTAATACTAAAAACTATTTTTTCCGATCTCAAAATCAATTAAATTTCCTTATATAACGCAATTAAAATATTGCCAAAAATGGCAGTTCGAAGCTTACCCCTAATACTAAATTAAAACCCTTAATACTAAAAACTATTTTTTCCGATCTCAAAATCAATTAAATTTCCTTATATAACGCAATTAAAATATTGCCAAAAATGGCAGTTCGAAGCTTACCCCTAATTGCTAGAGTAGCCAGGCAGCTTGGAGTGAGGGATTGGGACTAGGCCCCCCTAATACTAAACACCCCGGGGTGAACTAGTTTTTAGTATTAGGGGGGAGAACCCACAAATGGTAGGTTGATTTTTAAATTGTTTTTTAAAGGGGATCAATTAAAAGTCAAATTGGCCAAACTGAAATTTTCGGAAATTGGAGATGGATGGCTGTTTTTAGTATTAGGGGGACGTTTAGTATTAGGAGGAAGGGGTTAGTTAGATGGGCACTATTTGTTTGCTACAGTAACTATTTATCACTTGGCAAGTGGGGTATTAAGTGGGATGATTCGTGGTTTATAAACATCGTTACTTATCAGCTACTTACCAGGGCCCATTTTTCCTATGGCCCACTAACTTCATCCCACCTGGCTTGAGCGATGATCATTGGTGATGCTGGTGCAAGTCTAATTGTGGCTTTCTCATTCCCTTTGGTCAGCAAAAAATAACCACGTTCTTCTGGCTAACATTTCCATTTCTGGCTGTTTAGGATTCCACATATCAAGTTGGATGTATCTCCCACACACAAAATTATATATAATATTACAGTATGTATATATATATATATCCATATATCATATTCCATGATACCACCATGTTTGCTGCTTAAACTCCGTAGCTCGAGACTTCCATGTGGTGATCTCGGATCCCAGGACGGCTTCAGCGCGCCGCGCAAGGATATCAAGAGCCCGGAGCGGGAGACCTCAAGGCACATCCTGGGGGTTCTCGGGGCGAGGCCTACTGGAAGCAGCAATAGCAACAGCCCATTTTTTCCAACTTCCTGATACTTCATGCCCCCAAAAAATATGGAATTTACTGTTTCGCTGTTCTGGGGGTAATTACTAAAGTTTTAACGTCTAGTTGGAGTTTAGTATATCTTGCGAGGGAATCTGAAGCTAATATGGTTCAATTCCTCAAAATGGTAGTTTATATAAACATGCTCCCCGCAACCCCCTGGTTCGCCCACACTCAAACAACACATCCAAACAATATGATATACTTATCACCAGAGGATCAATGAAAACACTGGCTATACGCAGTGATTTTGACTTTCAGTTTTCATGATTTAGGGTTTTATTTTAGGGTTTAGGGTTTTAGGTTTTAGGGTTTGCTGTGTTTGTTGTTTTGAAAAGTACAAAACTTAAACCCTGTGCAGGGATTTGAGCAAGTCAAAAGATATGTGGGATTGGCCGCGGGCAAACCTAGGGGTTGTAGCGAACATGTTTCTTGATTATGTGACTAGCTGAAATGGGTAGCTAACAATCCAAAAAGTGTGTTTTTCACCAACGAATGAATATGGTGTTGTTGTCGCAAAATCGGCGGCATCCATTTAATTTCATTGCAATTTTGCTTTGGAAAGTGAAGTTTTAGACTTTAGACAATGCTATTGGATCTTGGGATTTTACATACATTTGGAGGCACTTCCAAGTCATTTATCAAATTGATGCTTTCCGCTGCTTTCCATTGCTTTCCAATACTACATAGATACTAGATGGCATGTTTTGTTCCTACCATACCCATAGGATCCATGTATGCTATATATGGTAACATGGATCCCATCAATATACCCCAGTCATGTTAGCATTTTCATATACCAGCACCATGGATCCTATGGGACATGGTAAGCTAACAAATCTGGGAGCCAAGTGATTTTGTCTGATGAGCCGCGTGGGCCCCAGTTTGCACTTCCAACCCCCGCCCTGCCATGACAAAAAAAACCATAGGGGTAACCAGTGAATTTTGGGACACCCACATCCATTATTCGTTTGATGTGCAAATCCCGTATATAGATGTTCACATATAATTATTGCATATATATATATATATATATTCATATGATTATATATGTATTTGATGGTGAACTCTCTTTAAACCTTCCCTTTAAACCTCAATGCAGATCTTGAACAATAGGAATGATTAATATTAGAACTGGCTCAGATCTGGCATGTTATCCCTTTCCGCATTCATATGAAATGCCGCCCAATGAAAACCTCGATTTAGTATTGGATCTATTCCTTTGGGGGATTTGTTCGGATTAGCGATCACTACTGATGTTCGAAAAATATATCATACCGTCATCACCATCAAATCTAACGAATGAGTTCGAAAATCAGGACTGTTAATTATATATTATAGATTTCTATTGTTGTTCCCTTTGGAAGAACCACCATCAAATCATCATTGGTATTCCTCTTACATCTCGAGTTGCAGGACTGGGTCGCCCAGTTGCTACAATGGTCCGAGTCCATGTCCGTGCAAAACGTGGCCAAACAACAGCTGGTGACTGGGACGCGGGGCAGGCGGGGACGATCCAACATTGCATCAGATGTTCATGGATTGTTAGTAAGTAGAATTTGATTTTAAGTAGGGTAGTTCGTCGTTCGTGGTTTATAAACGGTTCTAACTTATATATATATATAGTTACTAACCAGGAATTGTATGGAATTGTGTTTTTTCTTTCTTATGGCCCTTCCAAGCGCAAGTGGTTTGGACTTGGGTTTTCACAGGCTTCAAGGAACTCCTAGCATAATGGGATGGGGTGGGATCGAACCGGACGTTTTTTTTTTTTCATGTGGTACATCATAAATGATACAGGGTATAGCAAGATAGACACATACAAGATCAGTTACACAATTTAAAAATAAGAAAGGGAAATAATATATTACTTAACCCATGGGTATATAATATAATATAATATATACTGGTTATATCCCCTTAACAATGGATAACTATAATTCCCCACAAGAAAAAAGATTTCAGGTGAGTCTTGGCTGGGATGAGCTCAGGTCAGGCTTCAGTCGTGGCATCCCTATTAGAGGCTTTCCAAGTGAAGCCGCCTCAAGGGTTAATTTCCTTTGATGAGCGGAAGGCACCAAGATAACAAAAATGGGTCAAACCCTCAGCACATCAGCACATTGGTGAACATCCCAAACACGAAGGTCCTCCCAATAATTGGTTTTAGTGAGGGAAAAGGATGAGCGCTCATTATTTTTTTTTGGTCGCCAGAGATTTTGACAGACCCATATGACTTGTGTATCCAGCCATCATGCGACGCATGTGACGCACTGAGCGCGGCTGGCTGAGAGCTCTATTGAGGTGATTGCCTTAGCATCCATTGCAGTGGCCTTGTGCAATACCACTTGGAGCCTTGGTGTAGCAGTTATCCAAAGATGGGATAGACGGGAACAGACATGTGTGCAAACATACATGGGTTTATTGATTAATTTGTTCATTTATTTTATTTATTCATTTATTCATGCATCTATTTAGTTATTCATTTATTCATTTATTCATTCATCTATTTAGTTTTTCATTTATTTATTTTATGTTTGATTTATGTACTTATTTATTTAGTTATTTATTTATTTACCTATTTGTATATATATTTGTATATATATATATTTGTATATATATTTATTTGGTTTTAATTATTTTTTTTATTTATATATATATATATACATTTATTAGTTTTATTTTTTTTATTTATTTATGTACTTCTTTATTTATTGCAGGGGTGTTAGTTTTTCCCCAACAAACATAGGAGAAAGTTCAGCTAACTTTCTCAATTCAATGTGGAACTCTGTGACTACGGAGAACGATGTCCATTGCCAGCCGCCCTGTGACGAACAAAACATGCGGAGAATTTCAGGTGTAGACTTGATGAGGATTATTCATAATTATTGGAAGATTATTTAAACAATAATATAATATTAGATTATTGCCATATGTTTATTTGAAGATTCTAATTATGTTTTCATAATTGCAAAAAAAATGGGGAGTGTCTATTGCCATATTAGATTGCCACAGGGTACACTGATCATCCCAGTGGCTGGTAAGCCAGGTTTCCCAGCCAGTGATATCTACCAGAAACTCATAGTTAACCTAGTGAACTGACCCAGCTTAGCGATCTACATCCCATGGAAAATCCCATTTTAATCCCCATGTTTACTGGGTAAAATATAGCTACCCTCTGGTAAACAATCACATAACATAACTATGGAAAATCACCATTTTCAATAGGTACTATAAATGGTCATGTTCAATAGCTATGTTAAATTACCAGAGGCTAACTTTCGGGGGGACCAAGGAAGAGCGTGGTCCACAACCTCTTAACCTTGGCGGAGCGACAGCCAAAGATCGCTTGGGGCACTCTGTTGATCATCCCCGAGCAGCTGTACCTTGCGGAATGGCGGGGACCACGTGTTGCTCAAAGAAACAAGTCATCCTGGAGTGGATGGAATAGATAGAATATATAAATGTCATGTTCTATCTACTTCAGGAGGATCAAATAGCTATATATTCAAATGTGAGATGATTTATTCATTTCTTTTGTTATGCATGCTCACGCCAGGTCAGAACTGAATATATGCTGGGTGTTGGTTCGCCACTCCCTGAGTTTGCTTAACTTTTTCGGGCTTACACCGTTGTATTTGCTTGATATCTCAACCAAAGATCGCTAGCTCCTGTGATTTGGGAGTTACTAGTAGTGACATGGCACGGTTAGGCCAACTGGCTGGTGGCTGCATGAAGATCGTAAAACAGTGATCAGGGCCATACGCAAGCTTGATGGTGTTGCAACTGTTTTTTTTCAACCATGTCGGTGTGACCTCGGTGCCTGCCCTTATTTTTGCCCGGGGAGGTGTATTCAAGGGCGTTGCTGCTGGTAGATTGGACCTTCGCTTCCCCTGTGATGGTTGCTACAATGAAGTCTAGTTGCTCCGGTTCATTTCCAAAGCGATCTAGTGTGTACCCAAAACGATCCTGTTTGTGCCCAAAGTGAGCCAAAGTTTATGACCCAAGTGTGCCTATGCCTTCAAGTATTGGATCCAAAAAAAGTTGCGGACCCCCGGTGGGGGAGTTAATTCTTAAGGTATTACTTAAACCCCCCACATTGTTGAACAATGTTAATGTTCAAACTGATTAAATAATCCCAATTTGTTGGAAGTATCCTGTAACATCGCGAGATTTTTGGGGATCTTTGACCAGTTTATGGACGGTTCCATAGTCGGGTTCTTGGGAATCCTCCCCGGAAGCTCAGGTCTAAGGTGGTGCACAAATACCTCAGAACTGATGCGCCTCGGCTGCCACGAACTGTGCAATTTTGGTGAGACCAATTAGTGTCCTATGGGGTTATATATCCTATGATCATATAATACCAATTTTGTGCAATATCATACCAAGTGGGTTAAATATCCTATGATCTTCCCTTGTGATCCCTTTTGTTAGCGGTAAATCCCACTTAACATGCATAGCAATCCCCAATCAGATACAATTTGGCAAACGTCCTTCTCAAACTGGTTTGTAAAACAATATTCCACATATGATTTAACCGCGGATATTTTTGTACACCCCCATGTCTCATGAAAAACGCCAGCCCGACCAACAGTTAGTAAATAGGTTATCTCCCTGTTCCTATTAAACAACCTTAAACTATCATCAAACCATTCAAACCATCAGGTAATCAAACATGGCTGGAGAATCCATCATTTGTAGGGGATTTTCCAGCTAGCCACGTTTGATTATCAGAGGGTACCCCCACCATTTTGTCGGTTGGAATATCACACATCTATGTATCTATCTATCTATCTACCTGCCTGCCTGCCTGCCTGCCTGCCTACCTACCTACCTACCTAATCTATTTATTTATTTATCTATCTATCTATCTATCTATCTCTATCTATCTATCTATCTGCCTGCCTGCCTGCCTGCCTGCCTGCCTGCCTGCCTGCCTACCTACCTACCTACCTAATCTATTTATTTATCTATCTATCTATCTATCTACCTACCTACCTACCTATATATCTATCTATCTACCTATCTATCTTTCTATCTACCTACCTATCTATCTGTCTACCTATCTATCTATCTACCTACCTATCTATCTATCTACCTACCTATCTATCTATCTACCTACCTATCTATTTATCTATCTATCTACCTACCTATCTATCTATCTATCTACCTACCTAATCTATCTATCTATCTACCTACCTAACCTATCTATCTATCTACCTACCTAATCTATCTATCTATCTATCTATCTTTCTATCTATCTATCTATCTATCTATGTAATTATGTAGTTATATCACCATTGAACTAGGATTTTATTTTTCTATGTTTTTTGGGGATTACTTTGAATCATTATGTTTTTTTTGAATGGTGACCACCAAACCATACAAATCATAGATACGACCACAAAGACACATTACAGTCAAACCATTAACATAAACAATTATAAGACCATATCAACCATATTTTTTTTTAAAAAAATAACATGATCTAAACCATTACTATTTGTAGACATTACTACATTACTATCAAACAAAGCTATGTGGTAGTATTTGCTATCATCATTACTATCATTACTATTTAATATACTAAAAACTATGTATTAAATAGTATAATTTAGGGTAGACCACTATCTTATCATCATTACTATCATTACTATTAAATATACTATTTACTATACTATATTACCGCTACATGTTGAAAATTCCTGAGGACAAGACCCTGGCACTGCTGGGCAGCGCGGGTGGTCTCCTGGATGTGGCGGCCAGATACCCGGCGGCTGGCTATGACCAGGACTGACCTGGCATTTTTTTAATGGTTTCGTGAGGGCTTTTCAATGGATGACTAGTTGGTGGTTTGAAACCCCATATTTAATGGTGAAAACCATGGTTTCCTGTAGATTTTCCCTTGTATAAACCAATCCAATGATATATAGAACAACATATATACTAGTTGGTGGTTTGGAACATGATTTTTATCTTTCCATATATTGGGAATGTCATCACCCCAACTGACTTTCATATTTTTCAGAGGGGTAGGTATACCACCACCCAGATGAATATTAATTGGATATTGATTGGGTATGATATTTCATGATACAACCATAGAAAATATCATAGTGCAATATTTAATGATTCAACCATAGAAAAGAGTTCCATTCCAATATTGAACCATCAAACGGATCTACTTAATCTCCACGAGGTTCACAATTGACAATTTACAATTGACAAAATCAACTCATTACAAAACATGAACCGATTACCTCCATATGATTTCCCATTAATTATAGCAACCACCAAAAAATGGAACCATGATGTATAATTACTTATTTATTTATTTGTTTATTTATTTTGTTTTTGTATTAGCTAAACAAACTTAACATTGTCTGGGCGTTACGATATAGTTGTTATATCCAATAAGTTGATCTCGCATTTCTGAACCCCAAAACCATCCATATGGAAACAACATTGCGGTTATAATTGCATTGTTATATCAGATCCAATAGAAATTATTTTCCTATATATATATATAAACATATGTGTTATAGAAAGTTGAAAGTTATATCCTATACTTTCCAATATAATTATAGTTATACTTATTATAGTGTTATTTAAATCCTAGTGAAAATCCCATAGTTGTTTCATAAACCCCAAACAACTCCCCGTTGGGCTTGAGCAACTGCCAGGCGCCCACTGGCACGTTGACGGATTCCGAGTTCTCGTTGCGCTGACGGATTCCGTTTGTGAGGAGAGTGGAAGCCAATGAAACACTTCAAAATGGATTTTAATGGATCTTAATGGGACAATTAATGGATCTTAATGGGACAATTAATGGATTTTAATGGATCTTAATGGATTTTAATGGATCTTCATGGATTTTAATGGATCTTAATGGGATCTTAATGATTTTAATGGATCTGTAAAATGATTTTAATGGGATCTTACTGGGACAATTAATGGATCCAATTCATTTGATCTTTGTAGGATTTTAATGGATCTCAATGGGATAGAAACGGACTGGAATTATATTGGGATTGAACCATCAACTATAGGGATTTCATACGCTGTTGTTTCAAAAAACATTGGATTAAACCACCAAATTTTTGGGGATAAAAACTGATACATGATGCGTAGTTTATTGGTTATGGTAAGTGATTCTACCATGTACAACCTGATATGAGAATATGATAGCCCACAATAGGAATACGTATGAACCAATCAGTATTGTGAAATGACAATTTGTCTTGAACACAACTCACTTGTTTGGGTGATTTACAACGACCTCACCAAGACCTCACCATGAATCATCATTTGGATTCCCGAATCCATCAGCTTTTGCAGGTCAGTGAAACATCATAACTTAACCAGACATCGTTAAATCTCACGTGATTTACTGTAGATAGTATGCCGATGATGCCGATGATGATGATGATGATGATGGTGGCGAGGGAAATTCTTGTTTTGGTAGGACATCCATATCAAATTATTTAACTCTATATATTACGACCATTGGTATCTGTCAAAATTGCTGCCCCTTGTGCTTTAGAATTGGGTACATATATGTTGACTTTTGAGGGCCACTGTTCTACTTGCAGGGTCGAATCATGTGAAAAAAAGGTCACGTTTTGCCACTGATTCGATTGCGCCAGCAGCCTTACTGCCGCTCTATCGTGTTTTTACTTGCATACGCGGCTTCCAATATGTGACAGCATTGCTGTAGCCAGTTACATTGGGACAAATCAGTTGGACAAAGTGGCAAGGGTAGTTTGTCACTAGCGAATTACAAGAAATCCGTGTTTTTTTGGTGAAAAGCGACAGATTCCCACCAATGAAGTCAAAAAGGGATAAAAAAGGCATATTTGTAGATCTACATGTTCGAAACGGCATCTTTCATTTAAAGTTAAATCTGTTTAAGCCACATGTTCAGATCATGTTTTTCTTCCCCCGCGAAGAAGACATTGAAGTGTAAGATATCGATCCAAGCATTTCTTATTACTAGAATGAGTTGTAATTATTTCACGACCCTGTCTGCTAAGAAATTGGGGCTTTATTAAGTCACTTGACAAGCTGGCACCCATTAATCAAGGGTTGACACTGGGGTCACGAACTAATGGTCCCACAAAATGTAGCCAAGCACTTCTCCGGGCAGATCATTTTGATACAGTTTTTTGCACTGTCTAAGAATTTAGACGCAGTTTTGTCTATGTTCCGTATGGCTCCCGTAGGCAAATCCATGAATAGTAGCCCTCCCACTCATACTATTCGAGTTGCTCCGTACACCCGTGTCAGTGAAGATGAACCAAATCACCTTCCTAGTCCCCCAGCTGCCCCAAGGCTTGCTTTGCAGACAGTGACGCAATGGTCCAAGGTCACAGGGGGCACCCAGCAGGATTTCCCAACATCAAGGTCCTGATTGATTATAAAATCGATTTCCACTATAAATCCAAGACTTTGAAGAGTTGATACCACCCACTTCTGGTGATATCGGGGATGGTTTTTTCTTGAGTTTTCAGTTCTTTCATAACCTCATCAACGGATATATCCACCAAAAACTCTAGTTGGCCTAGTGAACTGTTCACCAACTTTGCTATCATGGATCAGCTACAACTCTTAAATCGTTATAAAGCACCTTTTTGGTTGGTTAAATATTAGCCATACATCAATTGAACTATCACCAATCGTTTCTTTCAACATATAGTTTGAGTCAAACTGAAAACTGTTGTAATCATTATTACTTAACTCTTATTTCTTTGGTTATCCTCATCTAACTGTTGGTTACAGCACCATTTCATTGCCATTTCGCCATGACCAAACCTCGCTCCACAGAGCCAGGTGATGGGTCTCCAGGTCATCGAGCACCAGAGCTTTGCGTCGCATCTCATTGGACTCATCGGAGCCTTGGTGACGGAGCGATGGAAGAAATCTGCCAAGGGGACGTGGTGGGAATTCATCATATTTCGTTATATGATGTTAGTGCATGAAAGTAACATATGTATAGTAATGTTAGAATGAATGTTAGTAATGTAATGTTAGAATATGTTAGCAGTGTATAATAACTAATATACATATATATATAACATATATATATATATATATATTAGTATATATATATATACATATGTTAGTATGTATATACACACTATAATATCATTGGTCGTAACGCCGTATGATAGTAATTATAAGACTATTATGATTAATGATATTAGTTCAATGAGAACTCACGATTACCCAATGATTGTCAATGCTAGTGTGATCATTATCACTACATTGATGGTAAATGATGATGCCAACATGATAGTGACATGATAATGTTATCAATGAGTGAATTGTAACACTAACATGCATGATATGTTCAAGTAATTGACGTGCTAATCATGATCATAACTATTGATGATATATACATAAGTTGATATCACGCTACTCAATGTTATTTCGATAATGTACATACTTGATTTTTTGTGTTAAACACGAACTACAACAGTCATGAAACTGACGACAAGAATTATACGTAGTTAGTGTTTATGTTGCTTGAAACAAGACATGAGGGTGTGCTAACTTTGCTGTCGCCATAATATGTTGTATCATGTCCTGTTTTCTGGGCTGCATAGAGCCATGCACTTTCATGTTGTGCCTTTGTGTTCCAATACGGCTGCCAAACTTTCGCCATCAAAAGGAAGTGGCGTGTTCAAAGTGATCCGAACCATGGCAGATTTCAAGAATCCAACATGTTTGTTGATGTCTTGCCATCGGCACATGACATTTTTCCCAAACAAATTTAGCAAAAGATAAAACAATAGGGATTGGAACAAACAACATCCATGATTTTTAATTTGTATCAAACAAAATCTTTGGCCATGAGCGAACAACCAAATTCCTTCACCCATGATGGGATTCTAACCATCCAACATGCGAATCAAAATGGGTGGTCAATGCAAACAAATGACATGGAACTGCGGGTCGTCCACATATTGGAAATAATTCTGCCAACATTTATGGTCTCTTCAAGTGTCCCATAAAATACAGTAGCCGTTCTTGCGCCCCTTTTGGATTTGTGGTGCAAAGCCCATCGGTGATAGACCTCAAGGTTGTCAACAACTTCCGAAAGCTGGTGGATGATGCAGAGAGGATACAGAAAGTCATTGAAGAGCGGTCTCAGTCTCCAAGGACGCAAATTTATCGACATCTCACAACTTGAAGCCTGGTGACTTGAAGCCAGTTGTTGAGCCAGTTTCCTCAGCGGATGATTCAGCTGTGACCTACAGCACCATTGTCCGCCATTGTCCATTGAAGGAAATGAAGTTGCAGGTGAAGAACTTGAACGAGCGAACCGAATGGTACCAGTCATCCTCTACCTTATGGTTTGGTACATGGCTTTTCTTTTCCATATATGGTTTGACTAATGTTCCCAACTGACGAACTCCATCATTTTTCAGAGAGGTAGGTATACCACCAACCATTTAGGTTTATGCCAGGACAAGAGATTGAAGTTCAGACCTGCCTCAAGAAAACGATCAGGCAGAGGATGTTGCAGTCCTCAACACTAAGGTGGAGTTCGTGCACACCATCACAGATGAGAACGGATTTCAGAGAGAAGCGCAAGAGCTGCAGACACCCCCTTCACTGTGAGAGTGTCCTGTACTAGCTTCAACCCAGTTTTGATGGTGTACACAGTACAATAGTACCATGGTATTTGGATGGTTCCCCTCCAAAAAAAAAATGTCCCCAAGAATATCTGAAAACTCGCCAGTTTTGGTGAAACCCAGGAAGCCCGGCCATCAACTCGGACGTGGTGCTGGACACCGTGCCTGGGCCTGGGTGGGTTGGGCAGGTTGGGCGGCCTGGGCCGAGGCTTCCAGGGTGCAGCTGGCTGGTTTAAGCAGCCGACATGTTGGATTTTTTGTTTAATTGGATGTATGAAGAACAGAATGTATGTACCTGAATGATTCCTGGAATGTATCTCAAATAATCCTCTCTCCCTAATACTAAACCTCCCCTCGCCAAATAATAAACACCTCAGTTGGTTTTTATTATTAGGGGAACCAAAGCGGACCCTAATAATAAAGTTCAAACCCTACTGTAATGTTTTTTTTATATTTCAAAATCAATTAATTTCCTTTTATAACGCAATTAAAATATTGCCAATATTTGGATTTCCAATCGGACCCTAAGAATAAATTTCCTTAATAAAGAAACTGTGTTTTGTTTCGATTTCAAAATCAAGTAAATTTCCTTTATAACCTAATTAAGATATTGCCAAAAATGGATTTCCAAGCTTTCCCATAATATTAAATCAAAAACCCTAATATAAACAACTAATTTCTTCGGACGGACCCTTAAAAAAAAAGGGGGTTTACTAGTCTTTATCATTGGGGGGTGAAACCCACAAATAGTAGCTTCATTTTTAAATTGTTTTCTAAAGGTAAGAGGATCAATTAAGAGTCAAATTTACCAACCTGAAATTTTCCAAAATTGGAGATGGACCCTAGTGTTTACTATTCGGGGAGGTTTAGTAATAGGGGGAAGGGATTATATATCTCAGATATGGAGGGGTCATATAATGAGATATTTACGGGGAGATAGAATCAACAACATATGACAACAAGGTGGGCCGTATCCTCTGATAATTTGACTGTTTGCTATGGACAATTGTTAGAAATAGGTTTATAAATCATCAAACCAAATGGGCCATGGTTTCCATACCAAACTCTTGAATTACCACAGGGTATCCTTAAAAAGTCATGTTAAAGAGGAATATGTGCTTCCGATTGATTGGGTTTTGAAAACGCTATATTCAGACAAACCTTTTGTTGTCCTCGGATATTTTTCCTTTTTTCACACATAAGATTATATATTTGTGTTTAACAAATGCTCCAAACTGATGATGATGTGTTTAAGCGGGTGTTGAAGTTGTAGTAGGATTTGTTTGAATTGATTTCAATAGCCACTTTCCACATCTCTTAGTTCCGTGGATTTCTTATGGGCATGCGAGCATTGGCCCCTTTCCCTTCCAGCCGTTTTCATCCCCCGGGAATGCCAGCAGATTAGCTGAGTCACACGAGTCCATTTGTACAGAACATGTACACGCACGCATGCAAGCAGGGCGTGTGCATGCAATATATGATATAGAAAGTTGGTGTGTACAGTGCATTTATATATATATATATATTTATGTTATATATATATATATATATTATATTTATATTTCTTTATATATATATATATGTTATATATATATATATTCTGATATATATATATATATATTCTAATATATATATATATATTCTTTTCTATATATATATATATATTCTAAATGTATATGTATGATTTGTATATATATATATGTGTGCGTGTATTAGTTGTTTGTGTATGCAATGTAGAAATGTAAAACATGATTGTATATATATATAGATATGTTAAAATGAACATTTGCACGGGATCTCAAGGTACCCACATTCCATGCAGTGACTCTGGCTGCATTCCAAGGTCCTAGAGATCTTGCGCAGGTCCGACGGGGCCTTCTTGATCTACGAGCCAGCGGCTGGGCACACGCAGGAAGGTTAACCGACAAACCTCCTGAAGAAATGGTAAAATGGTGATTTAATGGGATTTAACTATCAAAACTGCTGATTGAATAGGATTTAACCAGCAAATCTGATCAAAGCTGGTAGTTTAGTACAATACAGTAACCAGCAGACATGGTGAAAAAAAAGACACCACACATGATGGTAGGTTTGAGTCACAAGATGGTGAATACAAGAGAGGGCACTTCGTGCATATTAAATCATATTAAGATCTCTGTGTGGGCGTTTTTTTGATACACATTCATCATCGCGCAAATTTATATATTTGATCGTTTATTTTTTACTTCGCCAACAAATCCACTTCTATCAGACCTCCAAATGAAAAAGCCCCCATTAAGCCTGCGTGCAAATCACTTCAACAAAGCTGATAGTTTATGTTTTTGGTTGTTACTGTAATAAGCACCCAGGTTATGTGTGGTTTACCGCGTCTGTCGGCTTTTGCTGCAGGATTCCATGAAAAGTTTGGGATACTGTAGTCACAAGGTATATAATAAGTGAGCAGCTAACAATATGCTGGCTATACATGGCTATAGGCTCAATCAGCGAAGATGGAAATTACCAGGCAGCTGGGGTTGGTGTGCATGTGTGGGGGTCTTGATGGTAATTTTTTAACGCGGACGTGTATCCCATGAATTGAAGATTGGAAACTGTCCCAGAATTGCCTTCTTTGGGTAAAAAAGGCAAACAACTTTGATATTTAGGTAAGTTTTCGTGCGTTCACCTTAAATTACTCAATCAATGGATTATATAGTTTCAGGGAAAATCTTCAGGAAGCCATGGGATTTTAGCCCCAAATATCAGGTTTTCCGATAGGTTCTAAACATGTTGTTTTTCCAATTCTGGGCTAGAATCCAGTGAACTTCTCCAAGCATCCAAGGCTCAACAGGCTGCCCCTGCTTTGCAAAAGACACTGGTGGCTGTGACTCGCTCGCCGCTTGGCAGTGAACTCCATGTGAGCCGCAGACCGTTTTGATGACACGGAAATGGATCACCGCTAGATCACTATGATTATCAATGATAGATGATCTAGTTGACTCTTTTAAGATATTCATAAACTTTAGTGTATCAAAGAATGCTTCTCAACTGCATGTGTTCCTTCAATGCTCAGCATATCAGCTTAGCCGGCTTACTCTCTAGTGATTTGTTTCAGTTTGCGAACTGGAACATTACAGTTACAGTGGTTGAAAGCGGTAAATCATAGAACTATTCATGGGCAATGGCTTCCATAGCAAAATGTTAGATTACCAGAAAGTAAGCTGTATTCATCCCACCAAGGCCTTCTTATCAGTTATTAAACGACATTACTCGGTAGTTGTGTTGAATATATCCCCATTGTACCACCATTATGTTGCGTAAATTACCTGTTTTTCATGCTGAAATCCCGTTGTTTGAGAGTTAAATCCTATGTGTTCATCCAGAAATTGCATGTTTCTTGGGTTAAGTCAAGTCCCATCAAATCACAATTGCTGTTGGTTAAATAATGTTAAACCCCATGAAATCGCCATGTTAATATGATTAAAAAAAAACCTCACCACGTTTTACCCAACAAAAAAACGGGTACCGCGGAGGATGCAGACGATGCTCCCCACCCTCGAGCAGCACGCTGCCTCAGCTGCGCAGCTAGATGAGGAAGATGCACGGCGCCTGGCGCGCTGGGCGGAGGTGGTTCCTTGGTCCTGAGAAACTTTTAGTGGCGGGTGCAACATTATCCATTCGAGTACCATATTATTCAGTATGCTACCATATTCTACATCATATATCATTATATATATATGGATAGATAGATAATGATATATATGGTTTATGTTGTTTTAAGCTATTATAGTTGGTTGATGATTTTATTTTGGTTATATTAAACACAGACATATATATATATACACATACTGTATATATAATATCATTGTTATATTAATAATGTTATTTGGCTATATGTTATATTTGGTTAATGGGATGATATATCACCATATAACCATATAACCATAGGTATCTTGATGATAATGATATATGTATATATATATATAACCATATATGGTTAAAACTGGGTGAAACAATAGTTTCCACCACCCATTTGGGAATGGTAAACCTATGGTGATGACTGGGGGATGGTTTATGATTGATTTACCCACATGAGTGGAGGAAAACTGCCTGATGTCCGGTTCCAGATGTTCCTCTTAAAAAAACACAAATGGTCCAAATTTGGCTGAGAAACACATGTCTTCCGCCTCCAACTTCCCTCAGAAAAATACCAATCCCTGTCTGGTTGGTGGTTTGGAACATTTTTTATTTCTCCATATATTGGGAATAATACTCCCATTTGACTAATATTTTTCAGAGGGGTTGAAACCAGCAACCAGCTGTGGTTTTGCCGGTGGCCCAAGGCTGGAAACCTCATCGAAGCTTATACGCAGCTGCTGTGGTTGGACCAGGAGGTCTCAGAGATTCTGCTCCTCGGCACCGGACAGCGAGCGGACATCACCGGTCAGCGAGCCCACGGCACGATGGGGAGGATGATTTAACGGTGATATTTAACGGGATGTATCGGCAATAAGAATGGATTTTGGATAGGTATGGCTTATGGATGAGGATGAGGATGAGGACGATGAGGATGATGAGGATGAGGATGAGGATGAGGATGAGGATGATGATGATGATGATGATAGTGGCAAAACACAAAAACACATGGTAAATAAAATGATGGCAACAACATTTTTGAACATATTATTGGTACTACGCTTTACCCCGACCTTCCAAGCGGTTTTTGTGCTTCCAGGCTGCGTTTCATCGCTGCTTCCTTCATGGTGCATCCCAAAGTGGCACAGGCTGTGTCTGAGCTCTGGGCCGTTTTAAAGGCCGGAACGGAGTTCGGTGGCCGGCGATATCCGATATCCCATATAAAACAACCATGTTTGACAGTTAAATCACCACTTTTGATGGCAAACGCATATCTACTACAGTAAATGACATTCGAAAATATCCCGTTAAGTCCTGTAATTTCCCTCGAAAGTCACTATTTTTGTTGGTTAAATCCCTAGGTATCCCGTTGGGATCCCATTATGATGAAATTTGTACCCACCAAATCCCATTAAGTCCCATGAAGTTCCATTAAACTCCCACTAAAATCCCATCAATTTCCATTGGGTCCCCATGAAATATGTCTATTAATTCGATTATTCCATTAAAGCCCCAATAAAATCACATAAGATCCTATTTATATAATCCCATCAAAGTCCATTAAACCACCATTAAAGTCCATTAAATCCAATGAAATCACCATCAAGCACATTATATTTTGTTGCTTAGGTTCCTTGGAGTCACTGGAAACCCTGGGCCATCGCTGCATTTCTCAGGAGGCCAAGCGCGACGGCAAGCTGCCGGAGGGCGTGATGCCCGGGCTGCTGCAGCGCTTAGCGGAGCCGCCGCGTGGCCAATGGCTGGTGCTGTTTAAATGTTGATTTAACGGGAGTTAAAGCAACAAATTATCATGTGTTCCATGCGGATCAATAGGATTTAATGTTGATTTTCCATGGGATTTTTCATGGGGGTTGAATAGAATTCATTGACATTTCATCTAATTTTATGGGATTTAATACTAATAGTAATGGCTATGGAGAGAGAGAATGGTGATGTTCCAGCTAGCCATGTTTGATTACCAGAGGGTATTGCCATCAACCATAGGAGAGATCAGTCTTGTAGATAAGCATCAAATTATCGGTATAGTTACCCTCTGGTTATGACTAAGATAGCCATGGAAAATCCCTCATAAATGGAGGTTTATAGCTGGGAAAATCATCTATAAATGGGCAATTTTCCATGGCTATGTTAAATAACCAGATGGTATGTTATTGGTACAGGTTGTTACTTGTGGCCAAAGGAACGACAACATACCAAATTGTTGATTTGATGAGTTATTTTTCTCCAAGTCAGCCTCAAAAGATTGTCAAACATTGAAGTTTCTTATGTTCTTTCCCGCGCTGCTTAACGAACACGGGAAAGGGGTCCTACAACAAGCGGGAAAAAGTGGCACCAGTGGACGCACACCACTGGCCGCCTTCAGAAGACTTTTCACCACTTTCAGTGGGCCAATCGTTTTCTCCCATAGCCATGTGGCATTGCCACAACAACATCTTGTACCTCATGTGGAGGTTTCCTAAAGTGGGGGTACCGTTAAATCATCCATTTATAGATAGATTTTCCATTATAAACCATCCAGCTATTGGGTACCTTCATTTATGGAAACCTCCAATTGGTATCATCCACAACATTGATAGATTTTCCATTATAATCCAACCATAAATTTTCCATAAATGCTGATTTTTTCCATGGAAAATAGATTTTCCATGTTGCAATCAGGGGATTTTTGACGAGTTGGGCGCACATCCATCAGCTTCCTGGAGACCAACGGAGTGGTCAGGTAGCTATACAGTAGCCGGTGGTCAAAGATGGCCATGGAAAATCCACTTTATTTGTTGGTAAAACAATCATAAACACGATAATATAGATGGTATAAACCATTAATACATGGATATCAATGGTAATAAACATTTGTATAATCCACCAATGGTTTATCCCCCAAATCACCAGAAATAGATTGTATAAACAATTCCCACATGAGTGGTTTATTATTGTTTTACCCACATTATATATATATTTGATTTTCGTGACATCCATTAGTTCGGGGATTTCCCAGCTAGCCATGTTTGATTACTGGAAGTTACATCCCATCAAAAATGTCGTTTTGCGTTATTTAGAGCCAGGCAACCACCAACTGACGCATATCCAAAAGAATCAGGACATGTGGACATACAAATGACGATGCAACCAACAAACAAGGGAGCCTTTGCCAAGGCTTCAAAACCATAGGTATGGGATGATTATCAAAACCATAGGTATGTCCTAGATGGGATGAAATAATAATCACCAACATATAATGTGCGCAATCTTTTTTTGGGATACTTAAACTCCGGCTCAGGAAGTGATACAATGTGCCCGTGACCAAACCGAATTGATCCAAGAGCAGAAGAGCATGTTCCAGATTTGCTTGTGTTTTCTCATACCTTCTGATAGTCAAACAAACAGGGCAATGGAAAAGAAAAACAGCAAACAAAAACACATGAGTTTCACTTGTCATGATGTTCGATTACTGGAGATGTGCATTTTTTCCTGCAGGACGACCACGTTCCCTGACTGAAACCATGCAAGCTCCAAGACAACAACTAAACGCAGCAGCTAATCATTGATGGATTCAGGATGACAGCAGTGATGACAAATCATTGGCTGGTACAACGACAACAACAACAACAACAGCATTCCACAACAATAGTACTGGAAATCGTGTTGTTGAGATCCAGTACCCTTCGGAAGTCAAACATGGCAATGGAAAATCACCAATTCATCGATGATTTTTCCAGTAAAACCTCCATCGATAGGGATTTTCCCAGCCAGCCATGTTTGATTACCAGAGGTTAAATCCATTAACACTATATAGATCTAGTTATATTATCCCATTACTATCTCATCTTATATGATATATGTTATGACCGGAGGTTTTTTTTGATGTGTTTGGCGCTCAGGAGCATCCATTCCTTCGTCCGCTTCAGCCGTTTCGATTCACCCGAAGACCGTGCTGACCTGGTGCAGATGAGAAGTGCGCAGCAGGATATTTTGGTCGACATGTGGCGAGCCACGAGGGGGCCGGGGGAACTGCCCTTGGTGAGAGGAATCTCAAAAAATAATTATCTGGGAAGATATATTGAAAACACGGTCGAAAAATAGAGATTTATATACTTTACTGGTATTTTAATATGGTTTTGTATGGTTTAATATGGAGAATCATGGGAAAATAATGGAAGAATGATAGAATATTTATGGATATGAATGGATTTGCCCTCGGGCCCCTTTTTTTGCAACCTGTGAAAAGTCAGATCCGCAATACTCTGCGTTATGATCAAACATCGCTAGCTGAGACATCCCCGAACTCAATGGAGTGTTTTTTTAATACGGGAGAATCATTGATTGTAAATGTAGATTTTTTATATAAAATTACTGTAACTATGTTAGTTTACAGGAGGGCCAAGGACAATTATACAGTATAACTGTTCCCATTTGAGGTGGGCCGGCTTTGTAAAACCTCTCAGGTATATCTCTGAAGAAGAATCGAGAGTTTTGATTCCATAGTTTCACTCCAGAATCACAGGTGGGTATGTGCCATTAAATCTTCAATGGCTGCATATGGTGGGTTCCCCAGGATTCTCCAGCAATCGTCACAGCTGGTAGCGCCAAGGTACTGCATTGCAGCTGGCACAGCCGAAGCACAGTTGGTCCTCTCTACCTTGTTGCATGGCAGCCTGGAACGGCACCCGCCAGCCCTTGATGTGCTGAGTCGACGGCCTTTTTTCCCGATGGGAAATCCACTACGACTGGTGAAATCTAGACGGAATTAGGGTTGATTTTTGGGGGTTCCACATGCAAATCCAAGTCATTGGTAAAATCATGTGTATGAATTATTGTGCCTTTCTGGATTGTTTCATGCATCATGTAGACATCTCCAAGTTCTTTGTTTTGTTTCGCTCCCCAGATGTAACTGTGCAGCTACACTTGGTACAGGGGTGGAACTTGCACTCACCAAGCAAATTGGGTGCAAATTGGTAAAGTGTAAAGCCATTTTTGAGTCTACCCTCCGGTAATCAAACGTAGCAATTGAAAATTCCTCACTTATAGATAGGATTCCCATTAAAACCTCCATTTATAAGTAGTTTTCCAGCTAGCCATGCTTGATGGCACTGGAGGGTAATGCTTGACAACGATTTCAAAGCCCCAAATCCTTTTCCAATGATCAACACCCCCATGAAGTCTGGTAAAATGATAGATTTGTGTAGGTTTGTTCATGATTCCGGACGGAATTTTGTAGCTATTCTATAATTTGGATTATAACATAATTATGTCTTGTTTTTTTTGCCCGTTTGTGCTTGAATACTTTGGATGTGCAACTCACTGTGCCCCATAGCCGTGTGTATAACCCATGTATGAGGTTGTAAAATATGATATAAGCTCAGTGCTCAGTTCTGAATGAATTATAATTTCGATAGATGGCTATGATCAATACCATAATGGCTACGGCTATTATCGACATTGCTTTAGATTCCCAGCTTTGTTTCCAACAAATAAACTTACAGAGTTTCTCCAATTAGTTGATTTGTAGGTATAATCTTGATCATCCATACAGTGAGGCTCCCAAGATGGGTAAGTTGGTTTATGTATATATAAAGTCCTGAACGATGCGACTTATGCTGGATACATCGAACTGCACTTAACCACGTTATACCCACCATAGAACTACAGCATTAAATGTGCATTGTTTTGGTTTACATTAACTTATATTTGTTTTTTCTTATATTCCTACTCCTGTTACATGGGCCCCACATTCTAAAGAACAAAAGTCTGGGCCCATAAACAGATATGATTTAATTATATATACAATAGTTAAAAAGACACATCTTTATGGTGTATGCTAGCGATAAGCCACATATTTGGGTCCCAGCAAGCCACGGAACCCCCAGGCTGAAGCAATTAGAGAAGGCCGAGGCGGCGGGAGACGCTGTCGGCGTGGAGGTGGTGTGGTATGCCTTTCAAGGCGCGGCCGCGGTGAAGCGAAGGGGAAAAAACATTGAACATTCCACGTGTGTAAATATATAATGTACATTTATAAATATAAATATAATGTGTGTACATATGTATATGTATATATATATATGTATATTTATATATAGAGATGTATATGATTATATGTGTGCGAATGTACCATAGAAGGGGAGCGAGAGACATCGAAAAACAGCAGCCAGGCATTGCGGAGGTCATCGCCGATGAACCCAACGTCCCCGATGCATTTCATTCGGTTCTGCGGTCGGTGGTGAAAGACACTTTGATGCATCGAACATGATTGGAAAATGATCAGATTCATCCCATTTAAATCAAATCACTTCTCTCTCTCGATAATGGCTACTGAATTATTGGCTATTGACGATGCGAACGTCAGCTACGTAGTTGGTGGTTTCCAACTTTCTGGCATTTTTATCAGTGCCATTGTGTCAGCCCTGCTACCCCCAGATGGGAGGTGGCCTTTTTGGCTGTCATGCAACAAGGCTACAGGCCTGAAATATAACATGGAACGGAACACTGAACAAAACGAGATAAGATGGACATGTTGCTGTTGATAGTGACATTTGTGAGTGTCAGAGTCATATTTGCCAATTGTTTGTTCCTGAATATTGATTGTGATCAGACAAGGAATGTTGTAATATACTGGCTCATATGAGTTTCAAGTACATGGCCGCAACACATTCTTGGAACACCCGGTCGATGGCCTGGGACCTTGCGAGTGCCCTCCGGTAATCAAACATGGCTAGCTGGGAACCCCATAGAGGGTTTAATCGGAAAAATCAACATCCCATCCCACCTTCATCAACCATCATCCACCAGTATTACCCATTAATTACCGGTTATATATTAATCATCATTAATCCATCATGAATCCATTATTAACCATTATCAACCATTATCAACCATTATTGACCATTAGCAACCATCATTAATCCATTATAAACCATAATCAACCATGATTAACCATTATCAACCATCATTCACCATCAACAGAATCAAAATCCTCATCCTGATCCGTGTCAGAGTTCCTTTTGGTCTTGTACATCATTGTCACCCATGGTCAAGAGTTGGATTTCATAAATTCTTTGCTGATAATACCCATGTTGGCGGGATGGTCATATCACCACTAAATGATAAATAACATGGTCATTAATAACCATGGGTAATCCCATTATTAATCCCATAATAATATAATATTCCATAATAATCCCATGATTAATAGTTATTATGGGATAAATTGTATGGATGGTAATACCCTAGCCCATGAATCCCATGGTTTTTGTATTGACCATGGCACACATTTTCCGTCTGACGTTCCTGAGTGTTAAGCCCGATCATAAATTTCACCCAATGACTTACCGTATAAATGGTTGGGAAGAAACCGTCCGCAAACGGTCATGTACAGTATCCCATTCGCATTACGCCATCACTATATATAGTTTTTTATAATATATGTATATATATATATATATATTTATATATATACATATATGTGTGTTATTCCTTTTTTTTCCCATGATGGTGTTGTTTTTTGTGTGTGTTTTTGGGGTGTCGCGGTGTTTCTCAAAAGGTCGGCGCCGCACCGGTGGAAGTCTCCAGCACAGGGGCGGCACTGCTCCGGGCCTGCGGTCCGCATTACGAAAAGGACTTGCAGGTGGGATAAAGGGCTATGATGGGTTATGGATGTTTCTTTTTTTTGTAGAATACACACATATGAGTATTTATTATATACGTTTTATTTATGAATATATATATATATATATTTATGAGTTTATATTATATATATGTGTGTGTATGTATTTATATATATATATGTATGTACTATATAGATATCAATCAATAATATCGATGAAAATTGCACGTAATTTAATCCATTTGTTTTTTTGCTATAAAAGGAACATTTCCACAACCAGCAAAAGACTCATTTTTTGTGGACCACCAAAGATTGACCATGATTGGATATTAATAACCATTCCCCATGGTTTGATATATGGATATGTTATGGACAGGTTATGGGAAGTATCTAAACAACAAAAATTGGAATTAGAACCAGCCAGAATTCGGAATCAAGGCTGAAAACGTGAGGAGAATGGTGGGATTAGCCACGTTGAACCGTTTAACTGCCTAAAAATTGGACATGAACCGTCTTGGTGGTTTGTTATTAAAAAAAAACAAACATATATATGTTGGGAATTTGGGAATTTCATAATCCCAACAGACGAAGTCCATCATTTTTCAGAGGGGTAGGTTGAAAATGTTGAAACCACCAACCAGGTAATTAATCATCATATACCATCATTAGCCTCCATTAATAACCATTAATATCCATTAATAACCATTAACCACCATTAACCACCAAGAACCCTTATTAACCACCATTAATCACCATTAATCACCATTAATCACCATCAATCACCATTAATCACCATTAATCACCAGTTTTTTTCCAGGCGCACTTGGCTCCAGCAGTGCAGTGGCTGATGACCATGGTGACGCACATTCCGGTGGACGCCAGCGAAACGGTGCAAGAGTTGTGTGGGTGCGCCAGCGGTCGCGCCAAGCGGGGCAGTGATGGATGGCATGGGGCTATAATTAACATGGTTTTAATGGAGACATATGGAGACTTAATGCGATTTATCATGATTTATCATGATGTATCATGATTATCATGATTTATCATGATTTCTCGAATCACGGTAATATATACATATATATATATATATCTGGATATATATATATATACACCGTGGGGCCATCATCACCGTGATTGGGTAAGTCCAGGAGTAGGAATGTGGCCCTTCGAAACAGTCGCTTGCATATGTGGCCGTGCCATCGGAGGAAACATGCACGTCCGTAAGTAGCAAATCCAGTGACGGGTTATATCAATGTATACGCATAGTCAGGCTGAGGCAGGCTTTGTTTGAAGGTCTTGGAGCGAATGACACACTGTATACGCATATATATATATATATATATATATATATGTGAGTGCGTGTACATGAATCGGAATATCACAGAATATTACATAGTATCACATAGTATCACACAGTATCACATACTATCACATCACCAACCACTTTGTTTACCACTTCCCTTGCTTCGACCACCGGAGGTATGCCGGCAAGCTGCTGCTTCCCTTCGTGGAGGAATTTCTCAAGGTGGTCTCAGAGGCCACATGGACTTGGACATGGACATATCTGAACGGGCAAAAAAGGTGATTTCATGGGGATTTAACGGGTTCTAATGGTGATCTAATGGTCACTAATTGAATAATCTAATGGTATTGAGGCTTATGGTAATGGTGATGTTCTAATGGTAATCTAATGGTCACTAATTGATAATACCTTCTGCTTACTTAATAGTTCTTTTCTAATTGAACATCACCATTTTAGGTTCGGTAAATCATATTTTGTTTGTCATCTATAAATGAGCCAATGTCCAAAGCTATGTTAAATTACCACAGGGTAAGGAAAATGGAGCAAACTAATGGAGAGATGGTTTTCTATTAAAATGTATGTGTCTATCTATTTTTTTGGGTGCAAAACCCGCATTTGAAGCATACATGATGTTATTTACATGATTGAAATTGTCATGAACATAATCCTGAACTGTTCATACTTTAAACACAAACTTGGAAAAAATGGTTTTTGGGATTCCACAGTTTCAAACACACCCATAGTTATTTACAATTTGAAACAGTTTGATTATATACCTATTAAGTTTAAAGCAAAAAACATAAAACAGTATATACGAACAAAACCCAGAATATAATGAAAACACATACTTGCAATTCACCTAACATATAGGGTTTTATTTAAAGGAAAAATAATGTTGACACAACACAATTCAAACACTAGAAAAACAAGGCTTTCAGCATCAACACCAAAATCACATGTGTTTCTTCCAGCTATCGCCGAAACACAACCCCAAAAATTGGTAGCATAAGTTCATTTTGTTCAGTAATAGTTTAAGTTCATTTAAGCACAAGTATTCCAGATAAGTGCGTGACATTAAAACTTCAAAGTTTAGACCTCCAGTGGTGGAGTGAATCTTAACCACCAAAACTGTTGGATTTAAAGCAATTTGAACCATCCAAACATGTTTGGAATGTGGCTCCTGGTGGAGAATTAGCCATACGTGCCATCATTTTCAACAAACATCAAGCATCAATTCTGAAATCACGTGAAAAATCTCTCAACATCTCGCAAGCTGAGCCAGCTTTTGACATCAATGCTTGATTTGGTGGATTTTAGCCATGAAATAGTTTTAATTTTAGCAAGTCGTTTACCAATTTTAACCTCGAAAACTGCGTGCAATAGTTCGGTGAGTTACCTGAAGAGAACACGGTGAGTTACGTCCACAAAGAACGATATTAGTTGTTACTGAAGGGTGTTGGTTACCCTCTGGTAAACATACAAAAAGCTATTGAACATGGCCATTTATAGTGAGTTTTCCCATTAAACATGGTGATTTTCCATAGTTACCTTAGTTTACCAGTGGTTAAATCCCTATCATATTCCCATTGTATCATTGTTGCTTAAATCATCACTTTTGTGTCCGTTCTAAGTGTGATTCCCAATTCATGTTCAATTGTATCGCCATATGCCCACCATGTCCTCGCTATATACCCATTATACCAAAGGGTACCTGAAGATGGTATTGCACTAATATTCCATTGATATACCATTCATATGTATACCCATTACATTATTTGTCAAAAAAACTTAATCATCAATAACCATCATTCAGTCACCATTATACCATCATTTGTCTTGCTTAAGTCGCGATAATGTGAAGTCTCCAAAAAGTTCCCGTAACATACCATTAAATCACCAGTATATCACCATGAAGGCACTATATCCCGATTTGACCATAATTAAACATATCAATATTAACCATCATATTATTCATGTTTAATCACCATCAGGCACTACGCTATCAATTCTGATTAGACATGATAAACCATGAATATTAACCATGTATCACTCAATATCACCTATACATACATATACTCATTCATTTATTTTCAGTCATGGTGATTAAATTTTAAACATCAACAAAAAGATAATCATTATTTATTTATGGTAATATATTTAATCAACATAATACATTTTTAATGGTAACCATTTTATATTTATGGTGATATTTTAAACATCAACATGGTGATATATTTATTTATGGTGGATAAACATATCATGAAAAATCACCTTTTCAGCACCAAAAGAGACGCCCAGGTGGCGCCAAAGGCGCCCAGTGAGGTGGATGCAGCGCTGCATGGTGCCTTGCTGGGGATCACGTGCCCTGGAGAAACCGCCACGTTTTGTGCATGGAACGATGGGAAAAGTGTGTGGCAAATCCTATATGTTTCTTGGTGGTTGTGAAAAACACGATTGTGTTTAAGGATTCTGATGTTTCTTGGTGATTCTCAATTCTATGGTTACTATTGCCTTTAAGGATTCTCAATGATGATTGGTTTGTTTGATCTCTTTGAGAAGATTCATGGACTTTTCATGGTGTTGAGTGGCCTTCATGTGAAAGGCCCGGATTTGACCAAGCATTTCGGAGCTACATATCCAAATATATCAGATCCATTCATATCCAATTTGTCCCCCCATGGGCCACGGGATGCCAAGGAGCTACGAATTGAGTTATCCAACCAGCTGTTTGTTTGTTAGTTAATGTTTTACTTTGAATTTATTTGATTGATTTTACTGGTGTTATATTTTGTTCCTGGTTAATTCGTTGGAATGTAGTGTTGTTCTTAAAATCTCCAGATTCAGGCCCAATTCAAAAGGAAAGTGCTCTTCCAGGCACTTACTTGGCAGGGTCTAAGTTAGCTGGAGGTAATGCTCCAATTTATTGGTGAAGCCATGTGAAATCCCGTGTTGAAACTCTATTTGTAAAATTATATATTATATAATGTCAACCCCGGATTAATAAACCATGGTTTATTAATTAGGGGGGTACTCCTCCAATAGTCATTATCTGATACTTAAATGGTACCCTCCCAATTAAACAGCCGTTTGGGGTTTATTAACCCAGGGTTGACATTATATATATATATAATATATATATATAATATATAATATATATATATATATATATATTACACATGCATATGCACACACGCGCCACTCACCGGCCGTGTGAAATGGCTCCCACTCCAACCTGTTTCTTAGGCGCAATCTGCCGGCGGATCAAGCCGTCATGGGCTTCGCGCGAATCTGCGAAGGTGGGCGTCACCGCCAGTGGTGATTGAAATTCCATAGGGGTTTAAGCATCCATAAATGGGCCTTACAGTTGTGGCCCTCTACCACTTTTAAATGGCTTCATTCCATAAATGGGGCCATAACTGTGATTGAAACCATCCAAAATGGTGATTGAAACATGAAAAATGTTATTTTCGTGATCAAAGATGGAGATTTAACCAGCACAAGTTGGATATCAAGGATATATAGTTGGATATCACCCTGGAACCAACAGAATTTGCATATAATAATGGGGATATCAGGGGATACAACTGCTATATGATCAACAAGACAAAGGAAGAAAACCTCTTGTTTCAATAGCCATATATATATATATATATATTTGTGTTTAACCAGCCAACGTGGTGATTAAACATTCCAACACAGTGGTTTAATCAATGTAGGATGCATAAGGATTTGTCCGAAAACGGAGGTCCTCTTCAAGAGATGATGATGATCATCATCATTGTTTTGATCAACATATGGGTTTCTCTGGAAATTCAATCTGCGGGAAAAAAAACTGCAATTTCAAGTGGGAACATGATGCCGATAAACCAGTGTCACTTTGGGTGCCCCATTTTGAGACATACCCACTGGCTTCTTGTTTTTCAGCCAACAATGGGCACATAGGCTGCCACAACCTCCCAGTTGAAGATGTTGTGTCTCATACTGTGAGGTTAAAAACCGCCCGATAGACACAACATCTGATCTTGGTGTCTATATCAAATGGATTTGAATGGCCAACGACAAATAGATTTGCCATGATAGACATATACATATACCTGGTTGATACCTGGCATTGTGTCAAGTTAAGAACCAAAGTTAAAATAGTAAAATAGCAAGTGTTGTTTTGCCCAAATCCACTTCTTGACTGAAAGAGAACATTTTAAGACATTTGGCGTTGTATGTATGCCGTGTGTCAAAAATCCACTGTTTAATCACGGGCTTCTCTACAACAAAGGGCGAAACATCAAAGAACATCTTTTCAGGCACCGCACCCAAATATCACATTATTGGTGAAATATATCCCATTATACATGTTTACATCCCATAAAGTATCACCAATTGATCCCACTATTATCCCATGATCCCATATTATTTGGTTGGTTTGTGGTTTGAATATGTTTCTTTGACTTTTCTATCCTATGTGGGATGATAACCCCCATTGACAGCATATTTTTCAGATGGCTTGAAACCACCAAGCATTTACAGTATTGTTTTTGTTTTGCATACATATACATATCACACACATATAATATATATAATATATATAAATATATAATTTATATATATATACTATATTCCCAAATTATATCTCCATTACACCATCATTAATACCATCATTATACCACCATTTGTCTTGCTGAAATTCCCGGACATGGATGACCCCGTCCCCAGGTTCTGCAAGCAGCTTGAAGAGTGGCCTCGACGTCTCCACCGAAGCAGGCCCAGGGATCAACGGTTTTTCGGGCTTCGGCCCCTTGGGATACCCATCGGGACTTCAGCAACGCAAATGGCAGTATCATGGGGATATATAGGGATATATAGTTCGAATATGAGGATATATTGATGCATGTATTGGGTTGGAAATTTAGATAAGTATTTCAATATAACTTCACATTTTTTGCCATCATAGTAACGTTTACCAGCCACCTACTGTAGAGCATTGTTGCAAGGTACATAAGACTGGCCGTGAACATTTGACGTAATACCCAGAGGGTATATGCTTTGATATCCTTTAGGCTGCAATGGGTAATCGAACAGGTTGAACGGGAAGGGGAAGTTGGAGTAAATGTTTTTTTTCTCCAGTGCCGGGTCAGATTGCGCTTTGGCAGGTACATGGTTAGCCAGCTGGGAATACTCAGGCAATCAAGAATGTCAAAGGCAAAACCACCATTTGTAATTAGATGATTTTCCCACTAAAACCTCAATTTACAGGGTATTTCATATTTCCCAGCTTGCCACGTTTGATTACCGAAGGGTACTTCAGAACACCAGACTTGTGTACCGCGTGGGTGTTGGGTTCACCACAGGCAGCGACCAATTCTGGGAATCCCAACTCTGGGAATTGCTGGTAATTCTCCATTGCGTTTGGTGGTGCCTCCCCAGTTGTTTGTTGGTTTATAAACCCCATCTACCACTGGTGGGTCATTGAAACTACACATAGAACCCCCCAAAAAAAGGTCCGGCATTGACGAACCATCGTTACTATCTGTCCGATTGCACTTTGGGGTATAGTCATCCAAGTCGGGATAGCTGGGTAGCTTTCAGAACACACTTCTCACGCGACATAGGGCATGAAAGACTCACTCATTGTCAACGTGAGCAACTTGATATTGGGTATGTTTCATTTCGCATGGGATTTGCGTATGCAATGTTTTTCGTCGGCCCTTCCAGCGTGTTACATGGTAATCATGGTAGCTTTGGTCCGCCAGGTCGACAGATGCTGCACCGAATCCTCTGCAGGATCTTGCGCTGCGACTCTGTATTACGGCATCAAAGGGCTAGATAGATGGAGCAAAGAAAGGGACGGGAGTTGATGTGTGAATGTGCAGTTGTACCTGGCAAAAGTGGGATTATGTTCATTATTTTCCATCGGGTTTTGGCACTCTAATAGCCTGTAAAAAAAAGGATTCAAACCTTCACAAGCATAGCTTGTGCATGCCTGGATTTGTAGATTCTAGACGTGGATATGTGTCTAAAGCAAATAAAAAAACACTAAAGTAAGAGATGAACCATTGAATAGAGAGAGATATATAGATAGACAACGAAATCACAAGTAAGATACACGTACCCCCACGTTTTTTAGAACTATGCATATATATATATATATATATATAGAATTATAAAGGTATAATTACATGTGTACTTTCTTCTTAAATAAATAAATAAGAATATATATATATATATCACGGATGCTGAAGCATACCACACGGCCAATGAAGCCGCAAAAGACACAACCCCACTCTCAAATGAACGTGGTTTATACAAAAACGTTGCATGAAAGAAGAATCAAGTTGACTGGACACAGTCTGAGGGCTGATAATTGTGACCCGATTAGACAGGAAAGCTTTAGAAGGGACAGTGCCGCCCCATAGGCCCCAATCTTCAGAAAGACCTGGACGACCTAGAAAGAATTGGCTGGTGACTTCTTTAGGGTTCTGTGTTGGACCCAACATGTCCAAACACCTTACCATAATGCCCATGAACAGCAGCAGCAGATCTTATTATATGCAAGAAATCGAGCCTTTTAGCCTTGTTCATTCCACTGTCCATGCAGTGGCCATCGCTATTATTCGCGATTTACCATCAATTTACCATTTACTTGCCTGAGGGGTTATCCCATTCTGTTTCACCAGCTTTGCGTGTCATTTTGGTGCTCTTGATTGCTTTTCCCTTGTTTCACATTGCCTTGTGTTTGAGTTTAATCGAAGGTCCCAAACGGGCACTTGTCCAGGAAATGTTTAGCACGACACCTGAGAATTTAATGTAGCGCGAACTGCCTATTACTTCCTCCTGCGCAGCAGGAAAAATACATATATATATTTATAATTATAAAGATATATATATATATGTATATATATATACATTAATTCATGTGTGTATATATATATATATGTAATTTCATATATTTATGTGTATATATATATGTATGTATATTTACAGGTTTATGTATACCTATGCTGTGACAAGGACTGTGTCCCGAGGTCATGGAGGAAGCGGGCAGCAGCCAGCAGGGTCTGGGTCCCACCCCAGAGGCGCGCCTGGCGTCGCAGTGCATTGCCCGACGCTTGGATCGCTTGGATCGCTGGGGCTGCTGGGGCAGACGGGTGGCCAGGGACAAAAATGGCTGATGTAAGGGGAAATAATATTTACATTGACATATCTACATGCATATATCTATATAATTATATATATAATGTGTATAAATGCAAAATATGAATGGAATAAGGTGAATAAATATTAATGTAGAATGGTTAACATCCAACATTGGAATTTAAACTACTAAATTCATTATTTAACCGTGGGAATGGGAATGCTATCAGTTGTGAGTTGGTTTGTGAACCCATGTAATGCATGTATATAACTATTGACGTGTCTAGATATATCTACCATAAACCCTATTTGAGTTACGCAACTAGCGCAACTCAACATAATCACCAACTGCCACGATTGGGATGAACCTGTATTGCCCATCAAGAATTACGGATTAAGGATCTAGAACTAGAACTATAGGGATTGCCTTCCAACAACTAACATATAGATATCGAAAATCCACCAATCCACCAATTGTAGATCATTTCGTTGATTCATACATGTTCAGTATTTGCTGTGATTTGCCTCAAGGCACGGGGATGCATGGGGGTACAGTGCGAGGACGAAATGCTCGGCATTGTTTGTGTTCTGCAAAAATCCTCCAAGTACTTCCCAACAGTTCACCTTCTAGATTTCGCTCTTTTGACCTCCATTGGCTAGTAGTGTTCTTAAACAAGCTGGTGATGGTTCAATCCTTCGCATGGCATGATGATCCATGATGATCCCAATTGACCAGTCCATGTTCAACGGCCCAGGATTCTTGCTCTCATGCTGGACTCTTGGCATCGGCAGTGCTGTATAAAAAGCCTCATTTTTTTGGGGTGCCCAAATATGCCTTGCGAGTCTTGAAGGTATCCTTCCTTGATATCGCCTTTCTGGCTATATATCCATGTTTGTTGGATATAACTCCCCTTCAAATAAGCGTTCAAGCGGAAAATGAATGGGAACATCAGTTGTTCCACACAGCAAGAGTGCAAGACGGTGCTCGATCACTCGTTGTTTTCACTTGTGAACACTACATTAGTGGATTCCGACCGATTTGGATAGTAAAATGTAAACTAATTATCAAATCTGGTTGGTGGTTTCAAACAGTTGTTTCCATGATATATGGGATAATCCTTCCCAACTGACTATGTTTTTTCAAGATTGTTAAAACGACCAACCAGAAATGTTTGGCGTACAATCCACCTTTTGCTGCTCAAATCATGTTACTGTAAATTCAACAAAACTCTTGACCAAGTGAATCAAGCTCCAATTGTTGATGTTGTGTTTGATAAATCCACCTGCTTTTGGTCAAAACCCATTCTGTTTGATACGTGCATAGCTCAGAGCCCCCCTTGGTTATGTTATCTATCTCCCATTCTCCCATCATGTTTCGTTGGTTACTCCAGCTCAATTCTGATGGTAAACCCCAGCATTCGGGCCAGTCATCTCAAGCCTTTTATGGCGTGTCAAAACCCTGGTAGCTCTCGTGAATCTCATAAAATAGCTGGACAAAAATAGATGTTCATCCGAGTTCATCCCACTAAAATTGATAGGTCAAGAGGTTTTGACCCACCCTATCCACTGAAACCCAGGACTGCCCTGGCACTGCCGTGTCAACAGCTCTTGTTGGCTGCTCCAGTGGCGAAAGATGCCACTAAGGGACGGCCCATCTTCGAATACTCCGACGTTCCTTGGATCGGCGACGGCTGCGGAGCATTCCGGGGCACCAGTGACGTTTGAATGGTGGATTGTACTGGTGCAATGAGATTCAATGGGATTAATGTGCGGGTTTAAAAAACAAAAACAAATGATATTAATAAGGGTCTCATGGTGATTGAATCATGATTTACCTGTTGCTTATATATCTTAAATCTTAAACTCATTCGGTCCATTTGAAACACCATTAAATCCTGGAATAATACAATCAATTTTATAGCTTGCTTAAAACAAGCTTGCCGTGCCTTCAAGCACGATGCCGATGAAGATTAATGATTAAGATACCGTCAAATCCACATGAAATCAGGTGCCATTTAAAATCACAGTAAGACCACTAAAACACCACAAATTCAGTAGAACCCAACAACTTCCCATTAAATGTCCATCAAGATGCAATCAAACTCCCATAGGAAAAAACACTTTCAAAACAGAACGCAACAAGCATGGCAGTAAAATCACATAAGCAAACCATAAACTCAAAAGCATCACAGTAAGATCACGTTAAAACCACCATGGAATCTCACTAGAATATACTAAAATCATAACTTATCAAAACACATCAAAACACCAAACAACGATCCCTTTAAATCCCAGCTAAAACACCATCAAAAACACTACATACAGCAGTAAGTTCACTAATCGTACAAAATTCCAGCAAAACATAAATTAAACATAAAAATGAAATCCCAGTAAATTTGCACAAAAATAGCATCAAATCACATCAGATCACCATAAAAACATCATCAAATCCCAGTAGAGCACCCTAAAATCACGATAAAAATCCATTGAACACAGAAATAACAACCATAGAGATCCGAACAGCAACGCCGCAGGTGGCCTTGCAGGTGAATGTCCTGGCCTTGCTGCGGCGTGCAGGGCGCGCCGCCTGCGAGGCGGAGTCCGTGGAGCTGGCCACGGCGCTACAGCAGCTGCTGGTGACGTGCTGTCAGGCAGGATCGTTCAAAACAGGTTTAAACACTAAACCGTTCCAACATTTAAACCGTTTAAGCCATTTTAAACATATAATTATATTATATATATATTGGATTCTGGACATGGCAGCGCTGATATTGGAGCGGTCCGATCTTCTGTTAATGCTCTGATGTTTAAACATGTTTAAACATGTGTTTAATCACGTTTAAACAGATTTCTACATTTGAAAGTTGGCGGCCGGGAAGACTCAAATGTAATAATAAGTGATTTGAGTAGAAAGAACAGGTGAGCGAGAAAGAAGCACCACAGTGATGTAACTAGCAGCAAATTTCTCAGCGCTTGATTCTGCAAGTGCGCATAATCTCATGCGGTTGGGCCCTGAATCTTTTGGAATTGGTTTCAG